CCCTTTGGGAGAGAATTGTCTATCTCTCAAATTATAGGTCTATCTTTTATGTATTTGGCATAGTGTAGTTTTATTTTGCTTTGATTTCTATGGAATTTGTCTCGTTCCTATTAAATTGGTATCAGAGCCATGCATAGGAGTAATTGTGGCCAAGAATGTTGATGCTTCGGAAGAAAAATTTGAATTAGAGGTGAGCCAACTCAAATCGAGTAGAGAGGAGTATTTCTCGTCTATGGATGGGAGGTTCTTGTTTATGGAAGAACGATTCACAACCCTAGAAGAACTGATGAAGAGGCTCTTAGAGTTCCACTCCAACCATCTGTCACATGAGATCATGTTGACGCGGGTGAAAACGCTAGCGCTGACGCTAAGAGAAGCAATTTCGACTCGGAAGACAACCCTCGCCCACATGATCCATTCATGAGGGGTTACACAGGGGGCAATAACATTGTTATTGACAGATATGGGGCCACGGGATCGAGCAACGACATGTGGATTGGATTCGAGCAGCATCAAACGGACGAAATCGAGTGGCATGCATGTTGAAGTGAGCGACAAATTTGGCCGATGTGCCATCAAACAAAAAGGATTGAGTGACAACAGGGAAACGAGATTGCGGCGTGCAGTTTGGGACTGAAGAAGATCGATTCGAAGGATTTCGGTATGGAAAAGGGAACCACGGTGGGTGAGAACCCGGTCGAGGGAAGCATCCAACCACGTCGGTGTCTTTTGTTGTGGCAACAATGATAGCCTTCGGAGCGAAAATAGATTCAAGAGTCTATGGGGATGAAAAAGCCAATTATGGGGCGAGCTAAACAAATGAAAGAAGGTAAATCAATATGATCGAGAAAGGGAAGCCAATCACCGCTTCATAGGTGGAATAAGCCTCGATCAAGAAAGTTGGGGAAGAAACTCAAGCGTAAAACAGTTAAAGATGTCGATCTTTGAAGGAGAGAATTCATATGATTGGGTTTATCGTGTTGAGATACTTTATTGTTAATGGGCCTACGAAACAATAAAAATTGATGACGGCGGCCTTGTGTTTGGAAGAAATGGCTCTGACATGATATCGATGGAGAGAAAAACACCAGTCGATCAGAATATGAAAAGAATTCAAGGATCGGTTGATGGAGCATTTCAGAAACATGTGGAAAGGGAATTTACACGACTTGTTTTTTTTATTGGTCCAAAAAGGTCCGTCATGGATTATAGAGAGAACTTTGAAATGAAATATGACCATTTGAGAAGTATAACGAAAGCAGTATAAGAAGGAAACTTCATAAAGGGATTGATACAAGAAATTCGAGCAGCGCTTCATGTGTTGAAACCGTGAGTATTGAGAGAAACTATGGAATTAACATCATTGGTTGAAGATAAAAGCGGGATGGAATAAGAGTAGCATAGGTGGAGCATTGTATCAAAGTATTAAAACCACGAAAATACTAAAAACTCAATGTTTAGGATGCCAGAGGGAGGTTCCACGAGACATGAATAATGAGCCACGATCGAGAGTGATATTCAAACACCTTATAGAGATGGAGATTCAAGAGAAGCGAATCAAAGAGTTATGTTTTTATATGATGAGAAGTTTGCCCCAAGATACTGTTATAAAAATCGGACCTTATAGGTCCTCACAATATGTGATGAGAAGGAGACAAGGGATGAAAAAACAGAGGAAGTAGTGTAGGAGGAGGAACACCATCATCTGGATGTGGCGGAAGTCTCGGTGGTCAGGTTCAGACTGAACCACGCCATGAAACTCTAGGGACATAACAGATAGTAGAACTTAGTGGTATTGGAAGATAATGGGGTCACCCACAACTTCATCTCCACTCAATTATTGGAGCAATTGGGACTTGAGATGGTTGACACCATATGTTTTAAGGAAATGATGGGAATGAGACTAGTGAAGAAGAGCAAGTTTGTCAGTAGTTGATTTTGACACTACAGAGTACTCAGGTGGTGGGAGATTTTATTCCCTTTGAATTTAGGGAGCACTAACGGGTATAAGGCATGAAATGGTTGCAGTCCTTAGACGAGACTAAGATGAATTATAAACTCCTAACAGTAGATTTTTAGGAGGGAGACAAAACAATAGTACTTCACGATGACCCTATGGGGATGATCAAGGACATGATTAAGGCAATTCAAGACCCAGGGTTGAGATTCTTGGTTGAGTTGCATAACATGAAGGAAACACATGATACAAAATTAACAGATATTCTAGCACCAATTCAACAACTCACAACAATTTGCATAATTTTTTCAGTTATCATGAGGATTGCTTCTTCGAAAAAAATACGAGCATGCAATAATCTTGAGGCAGAAGGTTTCTCCAAATAGTATGTGCCCATTTTGTTATCCCCTGGTGCGGAAGGACGAGACTAAAAGATTGAGAGATGTTGGAATCAAAGATCATACAGACTAATGCAAGTCCCTTCTCTAGTTTAGTCTTGCTAATGAAGAGAAAGAATGGGAGTTGGTATTTCTGTGTGGAATACCAAGCAATTAACAAGAAAAAAGTACCTGACGAATTTCTCATCCCGATGATTGATGAGCTATAGGACGAGTTGTTTGGGATTACGAAATTTTTCAAAATTGACTTGAAGTAGGAATAAATCAGATTCAAATGTGGCCATCGGAAGCATACAAGGATGCTTTTCAAATTCATGAGGGTTTAATACGAGTTTTTGGTTACGCCTTTCGTGTTCACCAATACCGAGCTACATTTCTATCACTAATGAACAAAGTATTTCAGTCTTTCCATCATAAATTTGTGTTGGTAATATTAGACAATATCTTAGTGTACAATTGTTCCTTAGAAGACCACAGTGATCACTTGAAGGAGTTGACGGTACTAGGTGAGCACCAGCTCTACGCTAACTTGAAGAAGTGCTTGTATTCCCAACCAAATGGGGAGTACTTGAGACATGTGATGTCGGCTAGAGGATTTCAACAAATCAATTTAAGGTGACAACTATGCTAGATTGGCCCATAAATAAGACCTTGAAGAAGTTGAGAAGATTTATGAGACTTATATGATACTATCGGAAAATTGTGAATTGTTAAAATTTGATTGCATGGCCATTGACGAAGCAATTGAAGAAGGACAACTTTAAAGGGAAGTAGAGACCGAGACTTTTGAGAAGTTAAAAAAAGCTATGATGAGTATACTCATGTTGGCATTACCTGACTTCAACCAACCATTCATTGTAGAGATTGATGCTTTAGGATATGGGTTAGGTACTGTCCTCATGCAATGTCAACAACTCATCGTTTATTTCGGTTAAGTGTTAGCTGCGAGAGTCGGACTCGAGTCTGTTTATGAATTGGAGCATATGGCGATCATGCTTATTATATAGAAATGACGACCTTATTTGTTGGGGCGGTGCTTTACTTTAAGCGTGAATTAGCGCAACCGTAAATTTTTATTAGAAGAGTGTATAGTGAAGCTTGTCTAATTCATATGAATATCAATGATCAAGATAAATTATAAAAATAGAATTGTATAAAAATAGTTATGTATTTTAAGAAGGCATAAAAAATGAGGTTTAATAGAAAAACAAATTTAAGTTTATCTTTTTTTCTTAAGTGTTATCATTCTTCCGTCCTTATTAAAACTCTGCTTGAACAAGTAAGAAAATTTCAATTGCATTTTTCCCCCAAGTAGTTATGATATTTTAAAAATGCACAGAAAATGAGGTGTAATAGAAAAACAAATTTTAGTTTATCTTTTTTAAAATTGTTTTAATTCTTTTGTCCTTATTAAAATTCCGCTTGAACAAGTAGAAAGTTTTCCATCATTTTTTCCCCAAAGTTGTTTTTTTTTTCCTGATATATGATGTTTTGTTTTTACATAGAGATTATGTTTGTTTCTCAACTTCTTGACATCAAATTTGAAAATTCTTTCAAATATTTCAAAATAATTTAATTATAACTATGCTCATTTTTTTCAGATTTTTAGCTAGGGCAGCCTCCAATGACGTCGAATTTATTGTCCAGTAGCAGATTTATCTCCGCAATACCTATCAAACACCATTGACCACACGTAACAGCCTTCCCTTGCTATTTCACAACCACTTTCCGACAAAATCTAATTTTCAAATACCTTCTAAAGGCCCCAAAACGGTATTGTAGGTGGGGAGTGTAAGGTTGGGAAGTTCAGTGAGGAGCAACGCAGGTTAAAAACCAAAACTTTACACAAAATAAAAACCAAAACTATATATTGGCAGAAACAGGAAAAAAGGAAGGAAACTAAAAAAAGGGATAGATAAAGGGTAACTCTAAGATTTCCTCAACTCCAAAAAGAAAACGCAAAGCAGAAAACAGGAAAGGGAAAAAGAATCTCAACCTTTTTAATAAAGTAACTCATTCCTCTATACACTCCTATATATTATTATACCACTATTAACCAACTACCCAATATATTTTGAATCCTTGAATATCCATAGCCAATTAGAGATTTGGCTGATAAGCAACCCACATCTTAACCCAGTGGTTAGAAGATTTGGCTCGCAATCATGAAGTCAATGGTCTAGGTCTCGTGTATTCGAGCATGTGCATGAGATTGCAATTAAATTTGTTCAATGTCTCAAACAACAGACCTAGTTAATTCATCTATTCTTCACCGAAGTAGCCATCCTCCTCAACTTTCTGTCACGTGGAAGTCTCTTAACCAGAGGTTCCAAAGACTTCCTTATCATAGATCCCCAGCACCCTATCCTGGTGCCTAACATGAAAACATATACGTTTTGCATCCACGAAGCTACAAACTTCTTTTCATTTTTAAATGCTTGACATCCACGCAATCACAAACAGAACCGCCAATATGAATTTGATAAGAAAGACACCATATTAGCAAGGCTATGCATAAACCTAATCTGAGCACCAAGATAACAAATACTCAAGTAACTGATGCCCATTCAAGCAGATGCTTCATTGCTCCCAAAACAATATTTCATACAGACAAAATTAGACGGTGTCAAAAAACGGAGACTTACAGGCATACGGCGCAGTGGAAAGAGGGGTGGTAAGAGCTTTCAAGGGTGTTGTCTTCTTCCATCGCGCTAGTGAAAGGAGAGAATCCCACGGATTTCGCTAATTCATCGCCGCACGCCACCGTCCATCGGAGAACACCTGTTAGACAAGATGCATTTCGCTCGACTGCTGCAAGAAGCGGTGTAAAACCAAGAAAATATGCATTTTTACCATTAACTTTTTAAGTATTTACAAAGTTGCATCATTTATATATTTCTTTTATATTTTCACATACATGTGAACACATCAACATAATTTTTTTCCAACATATACCATTTTTTTTATTTCATGTTATTTGTTTCATGTTTGTTGTCTAAAACTTGATCAAACACTCTTCTACTTTAAACCCTAATTCCATTTAAAATAAAACTTCACCTTATATAACATTACTCTGAAGTATCTTAGGGGACCCCACATCTTCGTATTGGGTCTATTCAGTGTAACTCACCACCCAAAGTATGCTCCTATTTTAGTTGAAGAACCTAATGAAAATTACCCATTTGAACTAATTTGTGATGCAAGTGGTTTTATTGTTGGAGGTGTCATGGGGTAAATGATGGACAATATTTTTGTAACATAACATTTTAGCAAAATATTAAATAATGCACAAATTGATTATGATATTTGCATTGAATAAGTTTCAATCATACTTGATATCTACCAAAGTTACTATTTATATTTTTCAGTTTACTGTGAAAAATCTTGTAACAGAGAAAGAAGTTAGACCGTAAGTTATTATATGGATTTCATTATTAAAAACTTATTACAAAAATCAATGATAAAAAGGTATTGAAATTTTATCATTTAGATTAGATTAGTAAAAATGGCACTGGTCAATATATTATTTAGTAAGTTGATATTGTGAAATTCATTGTCGATGATATCTTATCATATGATATGTTGCATAACCAAAATATATATATATTTATCCATTGTGCTAAATTTTTCTTTTCTTTTATGAACCGAGTTTCTTTAGGAAATATAAGGACCAAATTATTATGAAATGTATTTTTTTGAAGAAGTGGAAAGTAGTATTGTGTGATGTCATAACTATGAATATAGTGAAGATTTTGGATATTTTAGAACTACTTCTAAGATCCTACGGTCAAGATTGTACCAGACAATAATTTTTTGAATGTTAATATGTTAAAAACTATGATTAGGCCATAGAATGTGTGATGTTAATAATAATAATATTTTTGCATACAATTTTTAGGAATGTTATAAAAAATTTAAAAAAAATGTTCAAACTAAAATATATTTTAGGGATTAATGTTAATATTTTAGAGATTTAAATCCTATAATGGTAATATTAATCCATAAAGTATATTTTTTTCTGTTGGGATGTTTTATGTGTTAGGATTAGACTTTATGTCTTTTTATTTCATTATATGAAAATCATTATATTTTGATAATAGTGAACTATGTAATAAAATGGATTGAATGAGTGACTTTTTCTTAGCGTGATTCCCTTAAAAAAAATTAATTACTTGAAGATTTGAATTGTAATCTTAAAAGACTTTGAATAAAATGATTACTACAGTTAGACAAGTTAGAAGAAATAAAATCACAAGTCTATTAGAATGTCAAGTTATCTAAGGAACAAACAAAAATGTGGCACGACCAAAAGCTTATAAGAAAATAATTTTGATGTTAATGATAGATTTTGTTGTTTAATTATATATTAAAATTCTTTCCTGAGAAACTGAAGTGCAGGTGGTCATGATCATTTGATATTTTTAATGTTTATCAATATTAAGCGGCGAACATTAATGAATAAAAGAATGCCAAAATATTCAAAGTAAATTAACAAACACTCAAGCCTCGATTACGAGGGTTTATAAAGCCTTGTAGATAAGCCATAAAATTAGTTCATCCTACATAAAATATGGTAATATCAAGCAGATGACATTAAAGTATTAACTTTTTTGGATTCAACCCATGATGTATCTTATTTTAATACATTTTTCTATTGTAATTTTGTGTTTTGAGAAAAAAAATTGTGCATTTGTGTGTTCTGGGTTTAAGTGCCCCAACCCTAGTCATGCAATGCAAGTGTGTTGGTTAAATGACATCATTTTAACTTTTTTGGATTCAACCCATGATGTATCTCATTTTATTACATTTTTCTATAGTAATTTTGTGTTTTGAGAAAAATAAAAAATTGTGCATTTGTGTGTTATGGGTTTAAGTGCCCCAACCCTAGCCATGCAATGCAAGTGTGTTGGTTAAATGACATCATTGATAAATTTTTTTTTTGTATCATCGTTTAATCTGAGGCTTGGCATTACTTTATCTTCATAGAGTTGATGCCTAGTAGGGCTATCAGTGATGTAATTAAGGATACATATATTTTAAATTATGCTATTAAAAAAATGCATGGCCATTGACGTAGATAAAATAATTTATAGGTCTATTTTGAATATGATAATAGTTGGCCCCTTTATTAAAGTAGAAGATCCATCTTTGATCTATAAGCTATATGCAGTGGACGGTGCTTTAAGAGAATATTTTTAGGAGCAATTTTTTCTTAATAATAATTTTTCTAGAAAATAAAAATATCTTTTAATCATATTTAAGCATAGAGCGATCCCTTATGCCCCTCCACTTTAAGAGATTTAAATTTACCTTTATTTAAATTTAATTGAAGTTAAAGGTTTTTAAAAAATTACCACAAAAAAATATTAAAGATAAAAGGCTATCCAACATCACTTAAAGACAGGTAACATGTAAAATTTGGGAAAAAATATTGAGTGAACTGAGTGCACTAATATTAAGAAATAAAAAATATGTTTAGAATTATGTTTTCTGCGCTTTTATTACATTAGATATGTGTTTTTTATTACATAAAATGAATCAGGACAAAAATAGGAAAAAATTATAAAAGTTGAACGCAACTCCATAAGGTCAATTGCATATGGGCGTGACACTTGAAGAAACATTTTAGTGCCAGATTCTTAGGAGCTCAGTGTAGCAGTGTTGGTTTAGAATGTCATAGTGCTAGATTTTCAGTGTCATGGTGCTATTTTAGTTGAGCTAGTGGAGATCAACATTTAAGAAAATACTTAAGAGTTTGATGCTACAATGCTATAAATAGAGCATCATAGTACTAAAGAAGTAGCACTTGCAGCTTTAGCTTGTGTAGAATAAAGAGCCTAAAACAAAGGAGCTTGACTCCACAACATTATTTATGGTAGTTTTTAGTGTCATAACAAGACATTTTAACGTAACAATTATTGCTCATTTTTTAAGTTGGTTGTAAGGAGTTACAAAGCAATTTTTTGAGCAGTAACAATAAAGACGCAAGGGAGATGTTGAGTAGACTATAAAGTGGGATAAAATACTCAGTGATTTTTATGAGAGTAAATATCGGGTGTGTGTGTGTGTGGAAGAGTGTACGAAATATGCATAGTAAGGAGTGGACAATAAGATTTAGTCTCAAAGAGCTAAGACTAGCTCTATCTTTTAAAATATAGCAAAGTTTTTAATAAAATGACTAGCTCTATCTTTTAAAATATAGCAAAGTTTTTGTTTTACCTTGCAATTCTATTGTTTTTGTAAAGCATGTGTAGGAACTAAGTGTAGTTTTTCCAAATTTGTGATTTATTTAAAGTTATTGCATAAATTATGTTGAAATGTATGAATAAAATATTGAAATGATTGTTTATTTCCCTTTGAACATAATTTAAATCCATTTTAGGCAACCACATTTTAAAACTTATTGTGATTTGGTTAATCAAACATAATTCAAGTTAAAACAAGTATAGTGAGACAATCAGTATTTTAAGTGCGCATACACATAATCGTTGCAATATTGTATTGTAGTAAATAATGTTTATCATAGCCATCATCATCAATAATAATATAATCAAATCTCTTAACTCTTTACGAAGATTAAGACAAAATTTTATTCTTGACTGGCAAGTAGGATTTCAAAATTTTCACCAAAATTTAAATAAAAAAATTTAGATAATCACAATTCAGATATTTTCTCTAACAACATAATTAAATTACATATTTAGAAACATTTTATCTTTTACTCGATAGTTGGGTAAAATTAAGATATATTAAATTAGTCATTAATTTAATCAAATTACACAATCGATCCTCATGGGAATGATATTTTATTCATCACCTTATTACTTAGAAACACACACTTGCATTTATCAACAACCTTGTTCATTCAAGAAAGTATGATTGGATTGCAATGAGCTTAAATTTAATCTGGCAAAAATGGTCTTAGCTGGTTTATTATTGGCTCGGTGCCCAAATTGGCTCAATTAGAGTTGCAATTGTGGTCAAATTGGTTTAACTAATTTTGATTATATTTTAAAAGATGTTTGGTTAATGTAATTTAAAATTTATTTAGTTTTGGTCTAGATTGCTCATATTGACTCAAATGGGCCCATTAGGTCTAATTAGGTGTCAATTTTAATTTATTGGATAGAGAATAACCTAATGGGAGCACTTACCCAGTTTAGTTGAATTTAGATTAAGTTTAAAAGAGATTTAACTCTAAATAATAAAAATAGATCTACCTGCGTAAAATGCTAAAGTGATTCAACCTGCTTTAAGAGTATCAAGGAGAGTTTAGTATGTTTTAAAGGATACTTATGACTAATAATGCCTTACTATTTAAGAGAAATTTAGGAATTAACTCAATTGATTTTTAGTGGACTTTAATGGATTTTTTTTTGTCAAAATGGTTGACAAAGCACTCAAATGAGTTTTAGTGGGTTCAAACTTCACCTTAAGACTATCAATTTCATTTGAAACCAGATGAAGATAAATTTGAGTTTATTTGAATGAGATTCAATTGAATAGACCCTTAATGTTCCATCTTTTCAAATTGAGTTTAACGAGGGATTGAAGGGCTCAACTCTGGGTTAAAATTGATCTGTAGGAGCCTTTAGATCGTTTAGAGCCACATAAAGTTAGAATTTTGAGAAAATGAGATGATTAACTTTTAATGGGTCCAATAAGTTAACTAGACTTGACCAGGCCTCTTTGATTTAAGGAAGGGTCCAAGGTGACTAAGAAGTGTCCCAAGACATTATAATTTATTTTAGTTAGATTAGGTTTATAATAATTCATCTAGATCTAAATTGAATTTGGATTAAGTTTTAATTTCCTTTGTTTTGAAATGAAATTACTATTG